TGTGAGGGAGCTCCGAGCCCCGCAGACACCGAGGGTTGCGATGTGAGGGAGCTCCGAGCCCCGCAGACACCGAGGGTTGCGGTGTGAGCGACCCCCGAGCCCATCCCGGTCCTTTCCCCTGCCCACGGGCACCTCTCCCTTCACAGCTGCTCCCCCCGACAGTCGTGCCGAGGCCTCGCCGCCCTCACAGCCAGGGGATTTCTCTCCGCTACCGCATCGAAGTCGCCCCCTCCCTTCAGGTTTAAACTCTTCTCCCTGTCCTGTCCCTCCATCCCTTGTCCCCAGTCCCTCTCCAGCTCTCCTGGAGCCCTTTCAGACCCTGCAAGGGGCTCTGAGCTCTCCCTGGATCCTTCCCTTCTCCAGGGGAACATTCCCAGCCCTGCTGCAGTTTATGAAGAAACCACGTTCACTTTGCCCTACTAAAACTTGGGAATAACGCGGGTGAAGTTGCTCCCCAGTAGCTGGGGGTGAGTTTGCATAAAGGCATTTTTGGCACTAGTATGGGCTCTAAGATCTGCCCAGAGCCTTTTCTGAGATAAATTTCTCTTCTTGCATTTAATTTTCCCTGCTGCTCTGGAACGAAAGCACAAGGCCAGAGTTGTCTCCAATTTTCTGTGTCCAGAGATTTTTGTGTTTCCTGTTGCTCTGGAAGGGAATTTATGGCCCTGAACAGTTGAAGAAGAGAAATATCCTGCTAATCCACTGTGCCACTCCATCACAGCTGTGGGTCCTGGGATGTCTCCTCGGGTGCGAAACATTCCACAAGTTCAGCATCCAGCCTGCAATGGCATTAATTATTCATTAGCTGTCAATTATCTCCCTTTCCGCCGGTCCTCAGCTTGGAATTTCAGAAGCATTCGGGGTTGTTTTCTGTTCTCAGCTCTCCTGGGCTCGGGGCAGGGCTCGCAGCTGTGGGAGAGCTACCAAAGTTCAATTAAACAATTTATTTTGATTATTTAAATAAAAAACTCTGAGGTTCCCTCTCGTGTCATTTGTTTGGGTTTTTTCCTGTGGCAGCCTGGTTGAACCTGGATCGTTGTGCTGGTTTTTATGGGCTAAGCTGAGCTTCCCATTGCTGCTGGAAACTTTCTAGGAAAGGATCCCAGTGGGGAGGGTTGGGTACAACCTCGCAATTCCCTCCTGGAAATCTGGGAGGGCTTTTTCAGGTCGTGTACGTTTTGTTCCAGCAGCACAGACAGGGTCAGGGAGTGTGTGCTGGGGAAGTGCTTGGCATGCCGAGGGAAGGATTTCACCATGGAAATGCTTCTGTGCAGAAAAAAAAAATAAAAAAAAAACAACCAGAGAATATGGAATGGCTTAGGTTGGAAAAGGTCTCCAAGATATTTGAGTCCAACCATTCCCCCCAGCACTGCTCCACGTCCCCTAGTGCCACTTCCACTTTGAAATCCCTGCAGGAATGGGGACAACACCTGAGCCCCTTTTCCATGAAGGAATTGTCCCAAAATCCACCCTGCCCTCTCCTGGCCCAGCCTGAGGCCGTTCCCTCTCCTCCTGTCCCTGTTCCCTGGGATAAGATCCCAAATCCCCCCGGCTGTCCCCTCCTGTCAGGGAATTCCAGAGAGGGAAAAGATCCCTCGGGATCCTCCTTTGCTGCAGCCTGAGCCCCTTCCCATTTCCCTCAGGAATTCTCCAGCCCCTTTCCCATTTCCCTCAGGAATTCTCCAGCCCCTTCCCAGGACACAGACAACTTAAGCAGCTTAAGGAATTTTTAACCCCTAGGATCACATGAAAACACACAAAAGGCTTTTTTAAAATATGTATTTATTTGAAAACCCTTCTGCTTTTCATTAACAGCTTGGCTGAAAACTCACGTGTTGAGATCTAATTTTGAACAGAGCCAAGAAAACCCCATTAAACAGAATTTCAAGAGCTTTAGATCTGCCTGAGGGGTGTAAATGCACCGTGCAGCTCACCTGGCCCAAGTGCTCCTGTCCCTCCAAGGCAGGGTTTGGGTGCTCACAGCATCTCGGGGAGGTTGTTGGTTCCTGTTACTCATTTTTGGGAAGAGGAGGCTGAACTCCGTGCCCAAGGCAGAATTTTCCAATGCTTTCAGTTTTCCAGGCCATGATAAATGGCTGGAGGTGGCACTCAGGGCTCTAGGCTGGTGACAAGGTGAGGATCAGTCACAGCTGATGGCCTTGGAGGTCTTTTCCAACCTTCACCATTCTGTGAGAAACTTAATTATCTTTTAATTAACCAATCCTTAATCCCTCCCATCATTCTGCCCCTTGTTCCTGCCTAGGAACCAATTCTAACCAAGTGGAAGATCCCAGCTCCAAAGGCCTGAACATTCCCCAGAATCCTTCAAAGGAGCAGTTGGCTGCAAGTACCTCATTCCCTGCTGCATCAGCAGGAATTATCTGTATTTTTGTACTTCTGGGTCACAGCTATTTAAGCTCGTTACAAAAATAAACATCATTTATTTCACAGAGCAGATGCATCTCCTTCTTCAGAACCTCATTAAATTTTCCTAAAAATGTAACACGTGAGGCTGCTGCCAAAAACTATTGGCAAACAACAAAAATGCCACAGGACTCCGGGTTTCTCCCGACTCTCTTGAGCATTTTCCCAATCTTAGTGCAGGACACAAAAAGACTGGACAGACTTTTAAACGCTTGATAGTTTTGTTCATTTATTGTAGAAAAGTTATTGTAATGCAGTTCATCTTTTTACATCTAAATTCCAGAAAACGAATCCATAGAAATGAGGATACTATGGGCATGCAGTCTGCATGATCCTGGTCACAAAAATAACACCACTTTTTTTTTTTTTTTTTTTTCTCTTTTTTTCCAATTTTTGTAATTTTCTTTGAAAGCCACTAAAAGCAGAGGGAGAGCAGAGCATGCACCACTGTACACATTGCATAGTATATGGTACCCACATGCCTGGTCGGGTGCTACACACACAGGGTCTAGAGGGCAAAACAAAGGGAAAATCAGCAGAAAACACAAATTTGGGGTGGCTCTGTCCCAGTAAAGGCAGTAATGTCTTCACCAGTGTGGCTCTGAACTGGCTCCCAGTGAGGCAGCTCTGCCAGGCTCTCCCTGGGAACCAGTTTGGGCTGAGAAACAGAGATTTTTCTGGGATCTGAGAAGCCCAAGGTCTGGAGTTTGCAGTTGGGATGGCTGATCCCAACCTTCTCCCTGCTCTGCTTACACACAATCTGCATTTTGCTGGCCTGGCCCTCCCTGTGTGCACCAGGAGGGAATCAATCAGGTGTGTCCCAATCCCAAACACACATTCCTTAACCTCACCTCCCTTCAGGTTTGCAGTTCTTGGGGAATTTTGGGTGCTGTGACTCTTCCTTCCCCAACTCCAAGCTCTGTATCCCCACAAACATTTCCTGGGAGCGTTTCATTCCTGACCTTGGGCTGCTGCTGGGTTCACCAGTCACATCCCAGATCTACACATTGGCCAAAATTAAAGTTGTTAATGTGATTTTCAACTTCCAGGAGGAAATCAGCAGAAATGAATGCAGTGGGCTTTGTGATTTGAAAAGGTTCTTTTTGTTGTCATTAATTAATTAAGATGGAAGGGATACAAGTTATTGAAAAATCAATCCCATGTGCAAAATGCCAAAATCAACTGCTGAAGTATCAGGCAGCGAGTAAACAGATCAAAAATGCAATAAATCCACTGATGCTGGATCAGAAATCTCCCCCTCAGTTCCAAAAACACGATGCCAGATGCAGGAGTGGAATTATTGTAAATTTGTGCTATAACAAATGTGCTTCTTTTCCCTTGCTCTGTGTTCACACCGTTGGCAGAAGAGAGAATTTTGAGCTCGGTGGATTCTCTGTGCAGAGCAGATTGAACACGGGGATGTTACAGGAAATTTGCTTTTCAGGCAATATTGATAAGGCAGGGGATGATCAGCAGGTGCCATTCCTGGGCAGACCTTGCTCTTGGACAGGACAGGAGTTGGTGTCACTGCCGAGGAATTTGGTTTCCCAAATTGCCAAGGCAGGTCCATAAATCATCCTGAGACCAAAGGCAAGGCTGCTCCCAGCTTCAAAGGAATAAAGGAGTGACATTGTTAACACTTGGAATGATTTCCACCTCCTCCCCACATTCTCTGGGTGGATTTAATCACAATATTTCTCCTGACTTCTTGAGTGGATTCCACACACAATGAAAGAAATCTGAATTTTCACTCCTAAGTAGCATTTTCACCTCTTTCCCTCAGTTAATTCCTTACTTATGTCTTACAACTTTATTAAAATGTCCCTTTTTTAAAAAAAAGATATACCTTTTTTTTTCTATCTAAAATAAACTGGGTTTGGTAACAACCTCACCAAGGTTATTCAAATGCCTCTTAAAATGACACCACACTCTCTTTTAGGATCATTTTAACTCCATTTCCCCAGAGTTATGCTTGGCTGAATTACAGGGTCCTGCAGCCTTTGCAGGATTAATATTTGAGGGAATGAGAGGCAACTCCAACAAAATACATGGCAGCAGAATCCCATGGATCCAAACCTGGACTGGCACCAACAGGGGTAAGAGAACTTGATTTGAAAATGCACATTTTTAGGAGCAAACCCAGGTTTGTATAAATGGCATTTTATAAAATAAGCATCTGATTTTTGTCATGTGTCATTTGTCATGTGTGTCTCCAATTATTTTGCCTTAAAAAAAAAAAAATTAGGAATGTGGGATCAAGGGCAAGTTTCAGAAGTACTGAACTTGTGAAAGAAAATACAGCAGAGGACACATTTAATGGATTATTAAAGAAAAAAGGAGTGTCAGAACCCCAGACTTACCCAAATCAGTGTGCTGTGAACAACAGGAAGAACAATATCATTTTAGAATGGTGAAGTCAGTAAAGACAGCAGAGTCTGGATGCTCCAGGGAATTCTGTGGTGTTGAGACCAAACTGAATTCAGAAGATTTGGCATCAAACTGGAGTTACAAATATCAGCAGCTGTGAGTTGCACATCCCATGGGAGAAAGGTTTGGCATCAGGAAAAGAATCTCTACATGTTAAATACAACTCCAGGGAGAAAGGATTTGAAATTCAACGGTTAACAATTAAAATAATTGATTCCCAGACATAAGAACGTGCTGAATTTTCTCTTTAGAGATTGTTGTTATCACCTTGATTGGTTAAATCCTCATTAATCATAAAGGGTCCGAATGAGAAGCTCGGATAAGAACAAAACTTAAGAAAATCCCTATTTTATAAACATTTCTAAACCCTCTGTCTCTGCCAGAGCTCAAAACAGAGCTCTGCTCTTTAGTATTATTTTAATAACAAGGAATGATGTGAGGACTGGAGAATGAGGCTGGATTGCTTCAGTCAGGAACACATGAACTCCACAATTTCAACTAAACCACGACAGAGCTGCTCAGCAGTGCTGGAATCCCAGCAGGAATTAGCAGTCCTGATCCCCAGCACAGCTTTCACTCCTCACTGTGTCCTGAACAGAAATCCCTTTTTCACACAAACACTGCCCATAGTATCTGCAATAAATGAGGAGTCTCCCAGCACGCTTGGTGAATTTGTATTTAAATATTTCTTTTCAAAGAATTGAACACCCCAGCAAGGAGGGAGACCTGCAGGGCCCCTGGTTCCTTTTATTACAATGGAATGGGTTCTGGCAGAAACTCAGGAGTCAAGGCAGCTTAACCCCATGGAATGAAGCACCTCAGGCCCATCACAAGCTTGTTTTTGTCAAACCCAAGTGGTTTTGGCACTTGAGATGTTCAGGTGATGGATTGTGCAGACATTGTGTGGTGGCTGGGGATCCTTCCCTGGTCTGGGCTGACATGGAAGACTTAAAGCAAGGCTGCAGAAGGCTCTAGGAAATCTGCAAATATGCAAATCTCCTCAAGTAGTTAATGAGCTAATCTAGTGCAGAAGAAAGAGAAGCAGCTGCTGCCCAGGGCTGTACAGCTCCCCTGCAATCAGGACCTCAATGCACCAACAGGGACAGCTCAGAGAAGAAGGGGTCACCTAAAAGCTCCTTTGTCATGCAGCTGAGTGTGCTGCACATGGAAAAAGGGCTGGGAAACTTCCTGGAGGATGTTCCACTGTGCTGCAGCACAGAATCCTGGAGGAGCTGCAGGTGCCAGGCCAGGTCCTGCTGTGTTTCAGCCTCAGAGCTCCTCCAGCATCTGCAGCCACAGGGAACCAGGCAGGATCAGGTCTGGCACATCCACCCAGAACTCTGGGACACCAGTGGAGATTCCCATATTTTCCATCACTCAGTGGTGCTGGAGCTGCCTGTGGAGTCATTAAAATGATTAATTAATCAGGTGTCTGCCACCTTTTAATGCTGCTGGAGATGGGTGTGGGTTTGGGTGTCCCACAAAGGACATGGATTGCTTTTCCCAGTAACTTCAAGAGGATAATCAGACTCCAGGATGCTGGAAACACCAGTGGTCTTTGCCAAACAGGTCTAGGAAGTAGAAGAAATTGGAATATTCCAGAAATTCCTTTAGTGCTACATGCTTTCAAAGCCTGGGTTCAGCAGGCTTTGGGAGGAAAACAAGCAAATAAAGACGTTAATGATCCTTATTTTGGGGAAAAAAAATAGTTGTGACATGAACCTGCATAAACAAATGCATGCTCAGCATAATTGTGTCAATTCCAGGGAACTGGAGACGGGGAATTTCGGGAGGCTCTGCTGGAAGATGTCAGTGGTTGTACAAAATTGACAATGGGGGTCAATTTTCAATCCCATGGGATCTAAGGCTTCACTGATGGTGTTAAAACACAAGGTCCAGCCACAGAAATTCATCTCTTGGAAGGAACTCAAGTAGGTGAAAGAAATGATTGGTAGGAAGTAAGGCAGCAATATCTCCAAGGATTTATCATAGCTCTTGGAATCCAAAGCTTGGAATCAGCTCTACGACTTCCCTGGGAGCAGATTTTTGTCTGGTCTTCCCTTTTTATTGCAATTCTGACCGAGATGTTGTTAGAAATGTTCATCACTGGTGACTGTCCAAGCCCACTCCCTCCCCTTGGGTTTCATGGCTGGGATGGATCTTCTGGAGAGTTCTGGTGCACCGCTGGAATTGTCAGACATTCAGAGGTGGGGCTGGGGACATGGAACACGTGGGCAGCTGCTGGGGGTACTGGGATGGAGGTACTCTACACATGGGGTCAGAGGAGGGCATTGTTTTCCTTTTAAAAAGCAGGAGAAAAATGGGAGAAAAATCTCTATATACTCCTGTTCCTTTTCCATTTTGGGACTTCTAGCTGCTATTCAGGTAAAAGAATGGGAAAAAACCCAACTATTCCAAGCACACAAACGATGGAGTTTGTTCCTTTTCCTGTCCCTATTTCCTGTCTCCTGTCGCAGTTCCTCCCTGCTGGTCCTGACAAACTGTCAGGACTGGCTGAACTCAAGAATCATTTGGCTGCAACATTCATGCCAGGTCTAAAAATAATTTCAAACTGGAAAGTGTTTTGTAACTGCTGCAATAATTTGGGATATTTGGCACTCTCGAGAGTTTACATTTGGTTTGTCTGAAAAAGTCATTCTGGAAAGAAATCGTTAGAATAAATCCGTTTATTCTAACCTGAAATGGAAATTGAGCTCCCAGCAAACAAATACTGGAGCTGACTTTCTGACTTTCAGTGGTTTGTAATTTTCAGATTTTTCTTTGTATTTGTTTTTTTTTTTTTTTTTTCCCAACATGCTCACGTCGACTTTCCAGTCAATTCACCCAAATTCCAACAGGAATTGGTTTATAAATTGGTTCCAACTGGAACTGGTCATTTGGAATTTCCAGCACAGGAAATTATTTTATAAGTGCCTCGATAAGTACCCAAAATTACAAACGGATGTGTTCTAATACCTAAGGACAAGAAAAAAATATGGCTATAAATGCAAATGCTGTATTAAACCCAAAAATAATCCCAAAAACAACCTCTATGAATCGGGCAGAAACGGAAGGGCCGGGCTGGGTTTTGCTGCCCCCTAATTAAACATCAATGACAGCAAGGTGTGAGTGCAGTGTCACGGTCACACCTGCCAAATTAACATGATCTAATTGTTATTTCTAGCTACGTTATGGCAAGGTATCAATGACGGGTGCTGTTGGTTTTTTTTTTGTTGGATTTTTTGTTTTTTTTGTATTTTTTGCCCAGTCCCCGCGCTCAGAGCCGGTGCCGCGAGTCGTGGCTGTAGGCGCCGGGGGAGCCGCGGCTGCGGTGGGGTTTGTACGAGTCCTGGTAGGGCTCGGGGAATTCCTCCTCCACCAGGGGATAGTGCTCTCGGCTGTGCTGGGAACTGGAAGACAAGCGGTTCCTGCTCTTTCGAGCCCTCTCGTTGTGATAATTCTCGTCGGAACTCACGAGGCCGCGCCGCTCCACGGGGGAATTCTCGGCGGAGTGGGCGCCGTGCCTCCCGCGCTGGCTCTGCGGGGGCCAAAAACGCCAACGTTAATACCCAAAACCCTCGGGCAACCCCCTGAGCTCCTGCCCAGCCCCGTGCCAGGCCTTGGTGCAGCCTCGTGGCACTCATGTTCCAGGCACGCCTGGCTGCTGGGAGAGGGCCAGCTCTGCTTCCTGCAGAGGGAAGCTCGCCCTGCTGAATATTATTATTACATCGAGCATGAAAAGTGAGCTGATGTAGTCAGCATTTATCACTTTTCTCTGATCAGGAACAGAACATTCACGCTGCTGCTCTGCTTAGGGAATGTCTAAGCGTCCGTTTCTGTGGTTTTGGAAAAAAAACATCTGAAGATGTTTGTTCGGGTTGGCTCTGAGCCTTATTTAAAAACCCTTCCTAAGACCAAACCAATGATGGGCTGCTCAGCAGGCAGCCAAGGGCACGCTAAAATCGTTAGAAAATAAATTCTTTCAACTGAAACACAGTATTTAAATATGTCGACAGAAAATCCCTTCCAATGATAATTTATTAATTAGAAGCCTTTGCTCTCCTCACGTTCCCATAATGACAATGCCCATCATTTGTCACATGAATAAAATTAGTTCGTATTTTTTTGCCAGTTAACGGCACAATGAAGAAATAGCCTAAAATAAGTATTTTGTTTGCTTTCACCACACATTAAACCTGTCAGGAGTATCAGCACCCATCTCTCAGGACAAACTGAGTGCTGAAACTCCAGCCCCTGCTGTCTGGGATATAAAACCTTCCTGCTGCTGCTACAGCCTCTGCCTGGCGACTGCTTTCCTGAATAATTTATATCCCAGGCTGCTGTGGCTGGGGCAGGGATGGAGCAGGGGGTGTGTGGTTACAGCTCTGGGATGGTGCTGCCAGAAGACTCCTGGAGAGGGGCCCTGAATGAACCTGACCCCAGATACTGGGGAGAACTCCAGCCAGGGGATCCCCAATTCTACTCAGAGCACCAGGTGTTAGTGGGGATTATGGCAAAGTGCTTCAGAAATTAAAGGCAGGCTGGGAGAGCTGGGAATGTTCCCCTGGAGAAGGGAAGGATCCAGGGAGAGCTTCCAGCACATTCCAGGGCTTGAAGGGGCTCCAGGAGAGCTGGAGAGGGGCTGGGGACAAGGGATGGAGGGACAGGACACAGGGAATGGCTCCCAGTGCCAGAGGGCAGGGATGGATGGGATATTGGGAATTGGGAATTCCTGGCTGGGAGGGTGGGCAGGCCTGGCACAGGGTGCCCAGACCAGCTGTGGCTGCCCCTGGATCCCTGGCAGTGTCCCAGGCCAGGCTGGAACACCCTGGGACAGTGGGAGGTGTCCCTGCCCATGAATGGGCTTTAAGGTCCAGTCCAACCCAAACCATTCTGGGGTTCCATGATGGATTATCCTTGTGTTTCTCTGACACAGATGCAGTTTGGATGTTTAATCCCCTCATCGATTGTAGCTTTAACTCTGTGCTCACCCCTCTGCCTTCCCTGTGGTAATTCACTCTCAGGCTGCATCCTGTTGCTTTCCTGAAACCCTCCTGCTGCCCTGGGCTGTGTGCCCATCCCAGTGCTGCTGCTGAGCTCCTGGGGTGCCAGGGGGACACACCTGGGGTGGTTACACCTGGCTCTGATGTCCTAGGTACCTTATGATCCTGCTCTGTGATTGGAATGACCACCTGCAATAATTGAAACCCCAATTCCCTGGAGCCTAAGGAACACATCTCCCCAAAACCTGAGCTGTAGGATTTGAATCCACACACTGAAATTAGGCTAGACTATGTTTAGAGCTAACCAGTCACAGAGGCAAACTGTTCCAAGGAGTTAAAGGATCCCAGGATGGTTTGGGTTGGAAGGGAAATTTAGGATCACCTAATTCCTTCCCCTCCATGGACAGGGACATCTGGCAACTGTCCCAGGTTGCTCCAAGCTCCATCCAGCTCGGCCTGGGACACTACCAGGGATGGCTGCTCTGAGCAATAAATATTTTCCTGCCCAAAGATCAAATTTACTCTTCCCCCCTCAGCTCAGCATCCTTTCCTTTAAGGAAGGCAATTCCCAAGGACCAGGAGTGGCAGAGCCAGCACTGCCACCTGTGCCCTCTCTGACTGCTCTGGATCTGTGCCACACAACATCACCCTCGTGACCTCCATGAGTCAGGAGCTCAGTCAGAACTTTCAGTTCTCAGTAAACCAAAGTCCAGGCCACAGCCAGGTAAAAATGGGAGTCTCCCAAACCTGGATTTGGTGAGGCAGGGACAGCCTGTCCCAGCACACCTGTATCAGGCTCGCTGCTACATGAGCCTCTGGACTTTTGCTTTTCAGACCCTGAGGTATCAAGGGCATAAGGAATAAAAAAAATCTTCCTATATCACAAGCACCTTTGCTAATTTAATTAGCCTGAGTGCCTTTTAATTACCACACACATCACCACAGTGAAAGCTGATGCAAATCCTTCAAAGGTTTGAATGAGTATAAAACCTCCTCGTGGGTAACAGGGATGGTGGAAGTCCTTACTGTGAGAAACCCATGGAAAACAGCAGGGCCTGAACCCTCCTGGCACGGAAAACCTGCAGCCTCTGCTTGGGTATGATCACTCCAGGAGAAATTTACCCCTCTGCAGAGCACCAGCACCATTGATCCCACCGAAACCCTTTGGAATTCGGGTGAAGTGGGGATTAAGTGATGCATACCTTCAGCCAGCCCACTGCACAGGGGTGATTTTCATCTTCAGTGTGAGTTTTCCCTAAGTAAATGGAGCAACATTTCACAGTTATTGCTGGTGTCCATTGATCAGAGAGAAATAAATGCCTGAAAAAAATTCTGTGGATACACCCAGTTCTCAAAATGAAACTGAAGAGGTGAAAGTTCTGCAGATGGTATTTTATTGGTATGAAGGGATGGAAAACTGAAATTTTAAGGCAAGTGGAAAATGGAAACAACAGTTTACATGTGCATGTTATTATTAGTAACAGAACAGTGCTTGTGCATTCAGCCACTCAGGAGACAGTGACTTGCTGGTCCCAATAAAGCCAAGCAGGGCTTTAGAAAGGTGAGTGCAGGAATTAAGCACCTTCAGGGAAGTGCAGCTCACTCACAGCAAAACCAGCTGCATGTTAACTGAGAACACCAAACAAGAGTCATTTCCTCCAAAACTGTTACCTGCTTCCAGGCACTCCACAAGCAGAGCAGACATTTGTTACATTTGTCAGGTGAATTATTCATTAAATGTCATTTGTTCAGTTCTATTTCTGACGTACATTAGCAAGTGACACTCTTGGAGTCCCACACACACTGAAACTTGCAGGATTTAAAGCTCCCTGCAATCCTGAGCCCCTCAAGCATTCCCAGTTATTAGCCCCAAACATTTCTGGTTTCAAACTTAATAAAGCACGTACTTCTCATTAAGGACTATTTACATGCCACGATTGAAGTGTCAAAGTTCAGCCGAGTCTGAGCTATCCCTGTGGAAAAAAAGGGTCACAATTTTTTTCAATGGGTAAAAAAAAAGAATGTCTTTTTATTCACACTCAAAGAACAAGCTTTTCCACCCAAAAAAAGTGAATGTTTGGTGAAGTTATGAGGGTAGAATAAAAGGGAGCATAACAGAGCTGACTCCTGGCTAGGAAATCGATTATTGGGAATTGGTTCTTTTACTTCCCACTAAAAGCAGAGCATTCCCAGCGTTCAGTTCCTCACTGCTTTACACCCCTGAGCTGATGTTGGCCAAACAGGGAGAGAGCAGCGGCTCACAAAGCAGGGCTGAGTGCCAGCACAGCCCCTGGCAGGCTGAACAAACCCACGTGCTCTGCTTTTCCTACCTGCAGGCCGGAGATGGCGGCGGGGTACGGGGACAGGGCGGAGGGGGCCAGGTTCCTGCCCAGCAGGGGGGTCATGGGCGTGGCACTGGACGTGTGCGTGGCTCTCCAGTACGCCTCCAGGTACTCGGCCAGGTGCTCGCAGGCGTCCTCCAGCTGGTTCTCGTCCAGGATCACGTCAAACATGTCCTGGGCACAGGGACACAGGGACACAGGG